CGTACTAGTAAAACAAAATAGTAGTCCAATAGAATCCGAAAAAAATCGGTTTGAGACCAGTTAAAATATAAATAAAAACATCCAAATTAACGTTTTAATATATTTTATTTCATATAAAAATTGCATACAAAACTAGCTTTTTATTTAAATTTAGCGTTTGAATTAAAATGCTTAATCATCCTTCGGAAACCAACAAAACAAATAAAATAAATAGATATTGCTATAAAAATAAAAAATAAAATTCATTAGATACATACATGGCATCTTAAACAAGTGGTAATATATACTAAGAGTAAAAGAGTAAACAAAATTCTTATATAACGATTTGGTTAGTTAAATTAATATAAATTCATTTAAAATGAAGCACATTTCAGTCATATTTGTAGGTTTCTCAGGCTCTAAGTACATCTGTACATACATATATCTAAATGAAAGGTGGTAACAATTTTAACGTAATTATACATGATTTCTTTGGAAAAAATAAAAACAAAATGGAAACATCCAAACCAAAAAAAAATAAATTATGCATACATAAAAATTCATTGCGTACATAAATTTGAAAAAACTTTTCAATTTCTTTTGTAAGCTTCTTTCAGGCACAGTAGTTGGTAGGTATTCAAAAATGAATTTAAATTTGCACTATTGGTAAATATATTCTAATTAAAACTAACACAAATTCTCAAAAAAAAAAAATCAATAAAAAATAAAAATTTGGGTATTCATTAAAAAAAGAAATAAAGCCAGTTAAACATCGTGATTTTTATTTGATGAACCCGGTTGCTGCGAAGATTTTTCCGTGAGAGCCCTTTTTTGAAAAAACCTCTTCTTGTTCAACTGGAGTGCTTTTCTTAGTTGCGTTTCTGGTTCATCGGCGCTGGTAAAGCTTATTATAGATTCTGAAACAAAATACATTAATTAAAATATGTACATTTATCTTGCTATTATGTATAAGTTCATTACCCAAAAAAACCGCATAGAAATTTTTATATTCCTTGAGGCTCTTTTTTCCGTGGGTTCCGTCTACGTTGTACTCCATTATTATGTCAGTACTGAACACGTATTTCAGGTTTTTGCTGAGTGAGTGTTGAAGCAGAGTTCTTATTACAGAAATCTGTCGAAAATAAACTTAATACATTACATTCCGAAATTTTTCGTGATCGAAGACAATACCCACCAACATGGAACGGGTTTCCGGTACCACTTTTTCATTAATCTTAATTAAGTCTTCTGTAGAGGTCAGAGGAAAACCAGATTTAATCGACGCTGCCGTAGAATCTTGTCGAACCAATTTTTCTGTAACTACTTTTTGCTCTGCCAGCGCCGACATTACCGAAGAATTTTGGGCAGTCATGGTTGCTAAAAACAATACAGCTTAA